GTAGCTGGAAGCAATTGCAACCTGTTTGTGAATACAATGGAGAAATGCTTAAAAGCTAAAGGCAGCAAGAATATGTTTCATATCTATATAAATAAAAATGTAGTGTTCGTTTGTGGGATTAACTTAACTCAAAAACCACTGGACAGATTGACACGAAATTTGGACACTAACTGACCAACGAGTGACCATCTATATATATATAAATGCTCTGTGCGTAATGAGTACCTTAAAAACAAAAAAACGACTGGGCTAAATGACCCCAAATTTGGCAACAAAACTCCTCAAAATCCAAGGAGTGGCCATCACTGAAAAAAAAACCCCACAAAAATACATTTAAATTCAATATATTACTATATTAAATAGACTCATAGAATAGAACTAGAAGGGACTCTATCATAGTATTGCAGGAGGACAGGAAGGAAGAAGAGAAGAAAGGAGGGAGGGAAAAAGGGAAGGAATGTAGGAGGGAAAGGGGGAAGGGAGGAAAGAGAGAAGGAGGGAGGGAAAGAAGGAAGGAGGGAAGGAAGGGAGAGAAAGAAGGAAAGAAAGAGGTACAGAAGGAAAAATACCAAGCAGTAAGGAAAGAAAAAGGGGAGGAAAGGCAGAAAAGAAGTAAAGAAAGAAAGAAGGAGAAAAGGAAATAAAAAGTGAAAGAAGGAAGGAAACAGGGAGGGAAGAAAGGAGACGAAGAAGTAGAGAAAGGGGGAGAAAAGTAAGAAAAGAGAGAAGGAGGGATGAAACCAAAGAGCGAAAGAAGGAATGAAAAAAGAGGTAGAGAAGGAAGAAAGGAGGGGAAGGGGAAGAAAAAGGGGGGAAGGAATAGGTAGGTACCGCTCTTTCATAATAGTCCAGATATCTACCTCTACTTCGAAAATTCTTACTATAGGCCACAGCAACGCGTGGCAGGGCACAGCTAGTCATTCATAAAACCCTCCCAAAAAACAGCAGAAAGGACTTAAAAACCTCCAAAAGCTAAATGAGGATACAGCGCATATGCTCCCAGCATCCCCTAAACCTTACTTACTTACTTACTTAGGTGATTCCTCATTGTTCGAATAGGATAGTCTTCCAAGATCAGTGTACTGGTAGGTCCGTAGGTGACTGTGGAGCCCTATTCTTGACCTACATCTTCTCCTGCAGTGAGGGCATTGGTTTCCAGGTGGAAGGCGGTCTCGGTTGAGGTTGGCTTGAAGCGCCTTCCTCTTGGCACGTTTCTCTCTTTCGTCCTCTATTTGTGCCTCTTCAAATTCTGCAGCACTACTGGTCACAGCTGACCTCCAGTTGGAACGCTCAAGGGCCAGGGCTTCCCAGTTCTCAGTGTATATACCAGAGTTTTTATGGTTGGCTTTGAGCCCATCTTTAAATCTCTTTTCCTGCCAGCCAACATTCCTTTTTCCGTTCTTGAGTTCGGAGTACAGCACCTGCTTTGGGAGACGGTGGTCGGGCATCTGGACAACGTGGCCAGTCCAGCGGAGTTGATGGCGGAGGATCATCACTTCAATGCTGGTGGTCTTTGCTTCTTCTTCCAGCACGCTGACATTTGTCCGCTTGTCTTCCCCAGAGATTTGCAAGATTTTCTGGAGGCAGCACTAATAGAATAGTTCCAGGAGTTGAGTGTGACATCTGAGGACTGTCCACGTCTCGCAGGTGTAAAGCAGGGTTGGGAGGCCAAGAGCTTTATAAACAAGCACCTTGGCATCACTACGCTAGAAATACAAGTGATAGCTTCTAGAAATATATCCATGTAGCAATGTTGGATATATGGGAAAAGGCAGAACTACTTAATGCCTTCTTTGCCTTGGTCTTCTCACAAAAAGAAAGTTGTCCTCAATCTCAGTAACTAGTAATGGACAAAGAATTAGGGGAAATACAACCCCAAATAGGGAAACAAGTCATCCAGGAATACTTGGCCACTCTAACTGAATTAAAGTCCCCAGGGCCGGATCATCTACATGAAAGAGTATTGAAGAAACTACCAGAAGTCATTTTGTAACCATTGGCAATCATATTTGCGAGTTCTTGGAGAATGGGACAAGTCACAGAAGATTGGAGGAGGGCAAATGTGGTCCCTATCTATCTTCAAGAAGGGGAAATGGGCAACCCAAACAATTACCGTCTGGTCAGCCTCATGTCAATACCAGGAAAGATCCTGGAAGAGATTGTTAAGGAAGTGGTCTACAAACACTAAGAAAGGAATGCGGTCATTGGTAATAGTAAAAAACAAGTCATGCCGGACTCATCTGATCTCTTTTTCAATAGTTACAAGCTGGATAGATGCAGGGAATGCCATGAATGTGGCGTATCTGGATTTCAGGAAGGGCTTCCTTTGACAAGGTCCCCTATGACCTTCTGGCAAAGAAACTAGTCCAATGTGGGCTAGTCAAAACTATGGTTAGGTGGATCTGTAATTGGTTAACTGAACAAACCCAAAGTGTGATTCTCCCCAAGGCTTCCTCTTCATCTTGGAAAGAAGTGACGAGTGGAGTGCCATCAGCAGGGTTCTGTCCTGGGACTGGTCCTGTTCCACATCTTGATTAATGACTTAGATGAAGGCAGGATCATCAAATTTGCAGACAACAGCAAATTCGGAGGGAGAGCTAGCATTGCATTTGATTGCAAAACCACAGGTGCTGGAGACTCAGGAGGAAAACTACATTGGTGGTCCTCTTCTTCAAAACAGATGTGGAGCCACATGCAACTTGTGGACCATACTTTGTCCCCATTGCTCTAAGGCAGTGGTTCTCAACCTGGGGTCCCCAGATGTTTTTGGCCTTCAACTCCCAGAAATCCTAACAGCTGGTAAACTGGGAGGGATTTCTGGGAGTTGTAGGCCAAAAAACATCTGGGGACCCTAGGTTGAGAGCCACTGCTCTAAGGCAGTGGGTCAGCAGGTGTTTTGGCCTACAACTCCCAGAAATCCCAGCCACTTTACCAGCTGTTAGGATTTCTGGGAGTTGAACGACAAAACATCTGGGGACCTACAGGTTGAGAACCACTACTCTAAGGCATGATGGAATATAACCACCCATGTTCTCTCCACAGGTGAAAAGTTAAGGCCATGGTTTCATCTAGCTGCCTCCAACAAAATATACGTTCTCTCCACAGAAAATTTCTAGGTCCTCCATGGAATGCTTACATTCACCCTGGAACTCCAAGCAACTTCCCAGATAATACATCTCCAGAACTTCATAGGTCCTCCACGGTGACTCTATAGCAGAAGTGTGCCAACTTCAACCCTCCAGGTGTTTTGTACTTCAACTCCCAAATTCCTAACAGCCTACTGGCTGTTGGAAATTGTGGGAATTGAAATCCAAAACATAGTTGGCCCATGCCTGATCTATATTAACTTTTGGCGGAAGTCTTTAATTTCAACAGGGTTCACTATTATTCACAGTAAACTCGAACATATAGGGACCAGCTTTAGCACAGTAGGTTAATCACCAGCTGCAGTAACTCTTGCTAACTGGAAGGTTGACAGTTTGAAGCCAGGTCAGGGTGAGCTCCTGACCTTCAGCTCAGCTCTCTGCCCAAAAAAATATCTTTGGCAAGGAGATGGAATGACAGCCCCCCCTGTGGCCAGAACAGAGCACAGCCTCCAAAAGATGCTGAATGATGAGAGAAGCCAAAATACACCTCTATCTGTTGTCTGTCTGGTCATTGTATAATCAGCATTAAATATTTGCCATATATGTGTTCTGTCATCCGCCCTGAGTCCCTTTTGGGGTGAGAAGAGTGGAATATAAATACTGTAAATAAATAAATATAATTACACTGAATTAGATGCGAAGAATAGCTGAAGAAAGAAGTCCCACTATTTTTGACAGTTGAGAGTGCCATACTAATATTGTGCTATGCTAATGATATCATATATTATATATACATATCATACTGATAATGATGGCGCAGTGGGTTAAACCCCTGTGCCGGCAGGACTGTAGACCGACAGGTCGCAGGTTCGAATCCGGGGAGAGGCGGATGAGCTCCCTCTATCAGTTCCAGCTCCTCATGCGCGGACATGAGAGAAGCCTCCCACAAGGATGATAAAAACATCAAATCATCTGGGCATCCCCTGGGCAACGTCCTTGCAGACGGCCAATTCTCTCACACCAGAAGCAACTTGCTCCTGACACGACAAAATAAAATAAAATACTGATAATTATTATAATGTAATACAATACAATACTAATAATACAATATAATAATATTAATTATATATTATATATTACATGTAATATTACTAATAATACTACAGTATAGTGGCACAGTACAATATAGTAATATATAATGCTAATATTGTGCTATGCTATTAATATAATATATTGTATATACACATAACATTGATAATAATATTATAATGTAATACAATACTAATAATAATACAATATAATATTAATTATATATTATATATTACAGGTAATATTACTAATAATAGTACAGTATAGTGGCATAGTACAATATAGTAATATATAATGGTAATATTGTGCTATATTGTTGGTTTTTTATTGTTTTTATTGTGGTTTAATATTGTCTTAATGCTTAATCTGTATTTTGCTATTATGTATACCGAGTTGTTGTAAACCGCCTTGAATTGCCGATAGGCTGAGAAAGATGGTATACAAGTATAGTAAATAAATAAATAAGTAAATATCGATAATAATATAATACAATATAATACTAATGATAACACAATATAATAATACTAATTATATATTACACATAACATTACTAATAATACTACAGTATAGTGGCATAGTACAATATAGTAATATATAATGCTAATATTGTGCTATACTAATAATATAATATATTGTATGTATATATAACTTGTAAGCCGCTCTGAGTCTCCTTCGGGGTGTGAGAGAGTGGGGTATAAATGTAGTAAATAAATAGATAAATAAATATGACATTCCTACTAGAATGCACTGTATCTTTTATTAACTGTTATTTAGAAAAGGCCATCTTTCCACCGGAGAAATCTATTGACTGCATCGGTCAAGAGAGAGGTTAACGATAGGCTGATATATCCAACTATATTTTACCAAAAAGTCCCATTCCTGGAGAGAGATCTAAAAGTGGACCAAGGTAAACATGCAAGAAGGCAGCTGGTGAGAGTTTCCTATTGCTGTGGGCATCGTGCAAATTTCTGGAGAGTGTATATTAGAAGAAAGCATTTCCCTTCCGCTTGAATGTATGAGTGAGTAGGAAAGGTGGTTGCATTATTGGCTAGGCATAGGACCAATGACCAATTTCTATCCTCCAAACTCCTATTTCCTCTTATATAGGGCGAACGCCATGGCTGCCACAGCCGCCAAAGCCAACCCAACAAGGAGCAATTTATAATCACTTGGGATCCGTGGAGGGGAAGAATTATCAGGACTTGATGCTTCACTTCCACGGGAATTGGGTGATGCAATGGGTGAACGATCTATCGCCAAATCAGGGCAGTCGGGTGAAGAGCGATTTGCTTGGTGTTTCCGAGAGCCAATGATATTTGGGGCTGCGGTGAGATCCATGCTGGTATCTTTCTGCACTTGGACCTCATAGGTTCTGATGGACCCGTCATCCTCTTGGTTGGCTTTCAAGGGCTGAAGGGGCACATCACCTCTTTCGCCTTGAGCTGAACCAGAGCGCTGCTCTCCAGGTGGACCGCTCGTGCTCAAATCGCTCACAATTAAAGGATCTTCCGTTAAACCGCTGAGGAGTAACCTTTCTGAGTCGCCAGAATATCCTGTCTCTGAGACATCAACGAGTTGCCCTGGAGAACTCATGCTTGGGACCGATTTCAGGACCCCAGGTTTGCATGGGCCATCATCGTCGTCATCATTGCCTTTGGAGATCCCTGAAGAACCGTTCCTTCTCTTCCTTGGATTTACCGTGTGCAAGGGCCGGCTTACCCTAGATACCTGTGGAGAAGAGACAAGGTATCAGTTCAACCTTTCGAGCAAGAAAGAAAAGGAAATTTTCAGATATCCCCAGCTTTGTTTTTCTCATGTAAGTATGCAGAAGAATTTAACACTTCACATCAAAGCACATCCATGTGGTTCAACGCACAGCCTCTTCTGTCTGTCAGGCATTCATGATTTGTTTATTTATTTACTGTATTTGTATACCGCCTTTCTCAGCCAATCGTCGACTCAAGACGGTTTACAACAAATCAGTACACATATTGTGTCCAATTCTGGGCACCACAATTCAAGAGAGATATTGACAAGCTGGAATGTGTCCAGAGGAGGGTGACTAAAATGATAAAGGGTCTGGAGAACAAGGCCTATGAGGAGCGACTTAAGGAGCTGGGCATGTTTATTCTGAAGAAGAGAAGGATGAGAGGAGATATGATAGCCATGTATTAATATGTGAGAGGAACTCACAGGGAGGAGGAGGGAGCAAGCTTGTTTTCTCCTTCCTTGGAGACGAGGACGCGGAACAATGGTTTCAAACTACAAGAAAGGAGATTCCATCTGAACATGAGAAAGAACTTCCTGACTGTGAGAGTTGTTCAGCAGTGGAACTCTCTGCCCCAGAGTGTGGAGGGTCCTTTTTTGGAAGCTTTTACACAGAGGCTGGATGGCCATCTGTCAGGGGTGATTTGAATGCTATATTCCTACTTCTTGGCAGGGGGTTGGACTGGATGGCCCATGAGGTCTCTTCCAACTCGTTGATTCTATGATTCTATATCATAGTACAAATTAAAACATTAAAAACGATATAAAACCACAGCAGAAGCAATAAAAAAATCAACAACATGAGCGTCTCCTTGTTAAAAAACATTGTCCAATTCCGTTGTCTAGTCATTTGGTTTCCTATGTCATTTACTCTGCATTTGTAAATGCTTGCTCAAACAACCATGTTTTAACTTTTCTCCGAAATGTTAAGAGAGAAAGGGTCAATCTGATATCCCGAGAGAGGGCATTCCATATCCGGGGGGCCACCACCGAGAAGGCCCTGTCTCTCATCCCCGCCAACCGTAGTTGTGATGAAGGCCGGATCGAGAGCAGGGCCTCCCTGGAAGATCTTAAAGTCCTAGTTGGTTCATACGGGGAAATGCATTCGGTGTAAGACTGTAGGATCTATATAGCAATATTAAATAAGCACTCACAAGTCGTTTTTGCTTTGAAATTGATATATTGCTTGTATCTCTGCAGCAAAGAAAGATACTACTGACTTTTTCCCACCACCACTTCCTTTTATACACCTTTCCTGCCCATCTCCCCCCTCTTCTGAGTTTCCTTATTAGAACTTGTTGCTTCACAAGTTCCAATACAAGGTTTCCAGTGCCCTTTGCTGGCTTCAAAATGTCACAGAGAGAGAACTGATTCAGCCAGGATGATTCAGTCAGGATGTCACGGAGGGAATTTGTGATTCCGTCAGAAATTGACCCCTGACATTCAGACATGTAAATTGGGCCAGAACCATTTAGGGCTTTATAGGCTAAAGCCAGCACTTTGAATTGCGCCCGGTAGCAGACTGGCAGCCAGTGGAGCTGGCGGGGCAGAGGAGTTGTATGCTCCCTGAGCGCCGTTCCTGTTAACAATCTGGCTGCTGTCCATTGGACCATTTGAAGTTTCTGGACAGTCTTCAAGGGCAACCCCACGTAGAGTGTGTTGCAGTAGTCTATACGGGATGTAACCAGAGTGCGTGGCCAAGTCAGACTTCCCAAAGTACAGGTACAACTGGTGCAATATATATATATATATATATGTGTGTGTGTGTGTGTGTGTGAATGAATGAATGAAATGTTCATTTGTGGGATTAACATAACTCAAAAACCACTGGACGAATTGACACCAAATTTGGACACAAGACACCTGACAGGCCAATGTATGTCCTTCACTCATAATAACACAGAAAAACACAGAAGGGACTTTAAAAGCCCCAAAAAGCTAAATGACGAAAAGCTAAATGACAATACAGAAAAAGGAAGAAAGAGGGAGGGAAGGGGAGAAAGAAAAAGAAAGAAAGAAAGAAAGAAAGAAAGAAAGAAAGAAAGAAAGGAAAAGAAAAGAAAGAGGGAGGGAAAGAAAGAAGGAAGGGGAGAAGGAAGCATGGAAGCAAAGAGAGAAGGAAGGAAAGAGGTAGAGAAGGAAGAACGGAGAGAAAGAGGGAGGGAAAGAAAAAGGGGGAAGGAAGGAAAATTGGAGAAGGAAGGAAGAAGGAAAGAAAAAATGGAAAGAAGGAAGGAAAGAGGGAGTGAAGGAAGGAGGGAAGATGTAGAGAAAGAGGGAGGGAAGGAAAGAAGGAAAGAAAGAAGGAAGAAAAGAGAGTCAGAAGAAAAGAAAGAAAAAGGGGAGGGATGGAAAGAGATAGAGAAGGAAGAAGAGAAGGAAAGACAGGAAGGAAGGAAAGAGGGAGTGAAGGAAGGAGGGAAAGAGGGAGAGAAAGAGGGAAGGTTGGCCACAGCAAAGCATGGCGGGTACAGCTAGTGTATATATATATACACACACACACCTTCCCTACTTCGCAGACGGCCCTGAAATGTAACACCTGGCCTAGAGGGACAGTGGTGGTCTCCTTCTCTGGATACATTCAAAAAGTAGCTGGACAGCTCCCTGCTGGAGATGCTTCAGCAGCTGGAGATCCTACATTTAGCAAGAGGTTGGTCTAAATGGTCCAAGAGGCCACTTCCAATGCTATGATGACCCCAAATTATCCTAGCATTCCTGCTTCCGAGACCTTGCCTTCAACGCCTTCACAAATCCCACGTCTCAAGGTGTTCCAAGAGCTTACCTTATCTTGCGCCAATGTAGTGGCATCTGTGTCCCTTCCAGCAGACCACGCCCTCTCTTGAATGGGAGCCTTTGGGTCCTCAAAGTCCGCCCAACATGGTGCAGAGGAAGGTGAGCTCGGTGGGATGACATTTGTGGAAGAGAAATCGTCAAAGCCAGAAGGTGGCACAGCGATGGGGTTTGGGGGGACGTTCACATTCTCTGATGGGTGCCAGGGTTGCAGGGGACGCCCGGAACGAGAGCTGCCAAGCTGAGGAGCACCAGAGGTTAGCTGGGGAGGGGCAACCGTTGCAACATGGTCACCTGGAGAGGATCAATTGTACAGGACATTGATGTATTTATCAGCACATAGATGAGATGGTGTGCATTATGTGTGCTCCAAGTTCCCACATGATGTACAAGGTAAAGATAAATGTTTCCCCTTGGCATTAAGCCCAATCGTGTCCAACTCTGGGGGGTGGTGCTCATCTCCATTTCTAAGGCAAAGAGTCAGCGTTGTCCATAGACACCTCCAAGGTGATGTGGCCGGCATGAGTCCAAGGAGCACCGTTAACTTCCCACCTATTGATCTACTCACATTTGCATGCTTTCGAATTGTTAGGTTGGCAGGAGCTGGCCCTAACAGCGGGAGCTCACCCCAATCCACAATTCAAACCTACAACCTATTGGTCAGCAAGTCCAGCAGCTCGGCGGTTTAACCCACTGCGCCACCAAGGGGCCCACTAATGGACATACAAAATGAAATTTCCAGAAAATCCACATTTTCACTGAGGAGACATTGATTGTGCCAAGAGGAACACAATGCAAATACAGCGTACTATGCAGCTTATAGAACTGAATCTCTGGCATAAAATATTATTTTGATTGCAGATGATACCTTGAGTCTCTTTCGGGAGAGATAAAGCAGGATATAAATAAATAAATAATGCCACCTTTCTCTGTATCTGACATCTTAATTGGTGGATTGTTTATTTTTTTCATTTTTATTTTTTTTTATTTAAGTAGACACACATTTGCAAGTGTTTGTTGCATACAGTGCAATACTTTCTATCTATTAATGTTCCATAATCATTTATCTGATAATGTATTTCCTTTAAGGAGTCACAGTCTACTATCTTAATCTATATCTATCTATATAAATAAATGCTCTGTGCGTAATGAGTACCCTAAAAACAAAAGAACCAATGAACGAAATCACATCAAATTTGGCAACAAAACGTCTCACAACACAAGGGTTTTTTGCCACCACCGCTCTCCGAGGCGCTTTCCCTCCCTCCCTCTAGCCTTGAAGGGCCTTTCCTTCACTTTATTTTAAGTTTATAAAAAAATAGTGTGTAACTACTAAAATAATGTATACATATAAATAAATATAGCGTCCCTACATCGCGGTTTTTCACTTTTCGCGGGTGGTCCCGGAACGTAACACCAGCGATAAGTGAGGGAACACTGTATTTGTTTATTTATGGAAACCTAATTACTGTAATTAGGTTACAAAATCGTTGGCAGGAAAAACGAAATGCAAAGATATAGAATGGGGGATGCCTGGCTCAAGAGCAGTACGTGTGAAAAAGATCTTGGAGTCCTCGTGGACAACAATGTGATGTGGCGGCAAAAAAAGCCAATGGGATTTTGGCCTGCATCAATAGGAGCACAGTGTCTAGATCTAGGGAAGTCATGCTCCCCATGCTCTATTCCGCTTTGTTAGATCACACCTGGAATATTGTGTCCAATTCTGGGCACCACAATTCAAGAGAGATATTGACAAGCTGGAATGTGTCCAGAGGAGGGCGACTAAAATGATCAAGGGTCTGGAGAACAAGCCCTATGAGGAGCGGCTTAAGGAGCTGGGCATGTTTAGCCTGAAGAAAAGAAGGCTGAGAGGGGATATGATAGCCATGTATAAATATGTGAGAGGAAGCCACAGGGAGGAGGGAGCAAGCTTGTTTTCTGCTTCCCTGGAGACTAGGACGCGGAACAATGGCTTCAAGCTACAAGAGAGGAGATTCCATCTGAACATGAGGAAGAACTTCCTGACTGTGAGAGCCGTTCAGCAGTGGAACTCTCTGCCCGAGTGTGGTGGAGGCTCCTTCTTTGGAAGCTTTTAAACAGAGGCTGGATGGCCATCTGTCAGGGGTGATTTGAATGCAATATTCCTGCTTCTTGGTAGGGGTTGGACTGGATGGCCCATGAGGTCTCTTCCAACTCTTTGATTCTATGATTCTATGCACAGATTCATAGGGGAAGATGCGATCGTGGAGGCAGCAGGCCCCGATGGTTGCTGTGGTTATGTGGTTGCTGTTAATGGTGATCACAGGGCCCCCAGAGATGCATCCCCTGTGACATTCCGCTGCTCCGTGCTCCGCTGGCCAGAAGTGAGGTCAAAGATCCCCTAACTGCAAGTCCCGGAACTAGATGCTCTGTGCCAAAGTTCTGTTGTTTGACCTACAGACCTCCAGTACAGAGTGTCTATACTACACTACAGCAAATGTCTCATCCTTGGCTCCTGCAGTTGGCCGTGTAGTAGTCGAGGATGCAATGTCTTTGGCATGTGGCCCCATACTTCTCTGTATGCGGCCACATGTGGCCGCGTGTCATCAAAAACAGTGAAGTGTGTCAGTGCTGACACGCGTGTCATAGGTTCACCATCACGGCTCTAGACCATGGCCATATAGCCCATAAAAACCTACAACAACCCTGTATTAATTATTATTCTTCTTTTAATATTAATTAATAAAATTATTAATGTAACCATATTATTTTACTACAAAGAGATAACATTGGTTTGTGTGTTTCTGTTCTTTTTATCACTTTGGGCTATTGGTGCTGGGTCACGCTGCTGCAAACGAGTTACTCTGCTGTACATTTATGGGGAGGGTCTTTTGTGAATAAGCCCACTCGCCCAAAAGGACTCTTACCTCTTCCTTGGAAATTCCGAGGCCTGACGTCCATTGGAATTTCGCTGTTGTCCTTCTTTGTGGGACTGTTCCTTCTTTGATCCGTGGCTCCTCCTTGCTCTAAATCTCTCTGTGTTTGCAAGTTGGAGGTGCCGCTGTTCCCTTGGACCGAATGGCTCGGGGCCTGGACATTTGGCTCCTGCAGCCGCTCTTCCTCCTGCGAATCGTCTTGGCTGCTTGGACCTGCGGAGGGAGAGTTCTCCACAGACATATAATCATCCTCCTCTGGCTGATTTCCAGGCGTCTTGGGGCCAAGAGGGTCAACAAGGGCTGGGGAGGCACCGCTATCCATTGGCACACGACTAGCGTTCCCGAAATAGCCGTTCGTGACGCAGACTGGGCGCTGCTGATGGCTGTTCCATGGCTGAGTTGAGGCGCTGGCTTCAGAAGGCAACGCGTGGTCCTGTGTCAACAAGGCATGGGGTGGGCTGGGAGCAGAGGAGGCTTGGGCATTAGTCGGACTCCTCTCCGCAGCTGGCACACTAGCTTGAAATGGCAAGGCTTGTGAGTCAAGGGGTGTAGAAGATTCCAGATCGCTGGGGTGATGAGTTGCCTGCAGGGGGAAAGAGCAAGAAGACACCAGATCCAAACTGGTCATGGAAGCTGAGCATGGCCAGCCCTGGAAAATACATAAGAGAGGAGACCACCAACAAGTGCCAGGTACTCTAGGAAGGACCTGGCACAACTGCCTCTTGAGTATTTCTGGCAGTCCAAAAAGATGAAGTAAGATTGCCAAGGAACCTCACAATAGAACAGAACAACTTTATTGTCATTGTACATGATACAACAAAATTAACTGCTTTCCACAGCGCACATCACAAAAACATACCCATCCCTTCACACTCCAACCACCACTGCACAGCCCCCAATGGCACATCAATGCAAAACCACGGAGGCTTTGTTTCCAAGGAAAGAAAAGGTAAAACTACTTCTGAGGATTCTTTTCCTTTGGAGAAATAAACTGTCAGAAACTATATGTTTATATGTTCTCAAACTATATGTTTGAGAGCAGTTGCTCCTTTTCACTTTGTCTTAAGTTACTGTATTGAGCTACGTACTGGGGATTTTGGTAGAATACATCCTTTATACTCTTTGGATATTGTACTTTCTCCTTACATAGATTATGTTGTGTTTGTTCTGACCTCCAACAAGTATTCTGGGACATTGTATAGTATTTGGGGGAGAAAAACCCTATGGCAGCATTTATCAACCTGAGGGGTTGTCGCGAGGGGGGTGCCAGAGGGGTCACCAAAGACCATCAGAAAACACAGTATTTCTGTTGGCCCTTGGGGGTTCTGTGTGGGAGTTTGGCCCAATTCTATCATTGGTGGGGTTTCAGGAATGCTCTTTGATTGTAGGTGAACTATAAATCCCAGCAACTACAAATCCCAAATGACAAGGTCTATTTTCCCCAAACTTCACCAGTGTTCACATTTAGGCATATTGAGTATTCATGCCAAGTTTGGTCCAGATCCATCATTGTTTGAGTCCACAGTGCTCTCTGGATGTAGGTGAACTACAACTTCCAAACTCAAGGTCAATGCCCACCAAACCCTTCCAGTATTTTCTGTTGGTCATGGGAGTTCTGTGTGCCAATTCCATCGTTGGTGGAGTTCAGAATGCTCTTTGATTGTAGGTTAACTATAAATCCCAGCAACTACAACTCCCACAGGACAAAATCAATACCCTCCCCCAATCCCACCAGTATTAAATTTGGGTGTATTGGGTATTTGTGCCAAATTTGGTCCAGTGAATGAAAATACATCCTGCATATCAGATATTTACATTACTATTCATAACAGCAGCAAAACGACAGTTATGAAGTAGTAATGAAACTTATTTTATGGTTGAGGGTCACCATAACATGAGGAAGCGTATTAAGGAGTTGTAACATTAGGAAGGTTGAGAACCACCGGCCTAGGATGTTGTTTCTGTTTTTACTGTCCAGAGAGAAGAGACTACACTGTAGAATTGATGCAGTTTGACTCCACTTTAAGTGCCACGGCTCAATGCTATGGACTCATGGAAGCTGCAGCTTGGTGAGACACCAGCACTATTGGTCAGGAAAGGCTGGAGACCTTGTAACATGTGAACTCAATTTGATTCCATTGCATTGGGCCATGGCAGTTTTAAAAAGGACAGGTATTAAGGCAAACCGGTCCAAAGGGCCAAAGGTGAGGGGAAAACAAACCTGTGGTTCTGCCACCGTCTCGTCAGTTTCCTGAACAGGCGCACGGTAACTGCTCATTTCGTTTGGGTTTGGGATTGAGGGCACAGCTCTTTGGTTCTCAGGAAGCAAATGGGGAGAAGCCTGGGCTCCCCTAGGACTCGGATCCCGCGGAGGAGACACCATTCGTTCAGCAGACGCCGGCGGACTGAAACCCACAGCGCTCGATCCCATTGGTGGACGGGGATTCCCCACAGCAGGAGACGATGCAGTTAGTGGAGCACTGCGTTGAGAAGCTGGTGAAACAAAACACATAATCAGTAGGCATGTGCAATTCATAAAAAAATAGTTCTAAACTCCTTCCCTCCTGGTGTTTCATTTCTAAAATATTTTCTAATTTTGTGGTCAATATTTCGGAACTCTAATGAAACTTACGAATCTTCCTACGTACTTTATTAATGGTGTTCGTGATTGCGCAACAGGGAAAACATCACTGTTCAAGGAGAAACTTGTGGGACTTCTCTCTCCCATGTTTTTTGAGCTACCCAAATGAAACGTGCTACAGTCGTAGAAGACATTTACCATAGTTAGCTCACCAAATTTCAGAACGTTCTACTTACCCACAGAATTTTGGTGAATTTTCAAAGTTTTCATAAACAACTACAAGAGCGATCTCCTTGAATTTTATATACAATGCACAAGAGGAGAGAGTAGACCAGGTTGTGGCTTAGCTTGGGAGTCAGCTGCATTAAAACCACTACTGACCGAAAGGTCATGTGTTCGAAGTCAGCCTGGGTCGAAGTAAGCTCCCGTCCATTTGTCTAGCTTACTGTAGACCTTTGCAGCCTGAAAGACAGTTGCATCTGTGAAGTAGGAAATTTAGATAGCGCTTATGCGGAAAGGCTAATTTAACTAATTTACGATGCCATATAGACAGTGAAGAAGTGCAGTTTCCCACAGCAAGGAATGAGAGTGTTGGTTCTAAAAACAGCCAGGTGCAGGTGCAGATTGAGTCAGAGAAGAAGGACAGTTCTCAGCCTGATAATGAGCAAGCAGGGAAACAGGCTGACACTAATGAAGACTGACCTTGACGAAATGGGACCCTTAGATCGGGCTGACCGTTAGGAATTCTAAGTTCGAAAGAGTGTGAGAATAGCTAATAAGAGGGAGGCATCAGGCCAAAGAAACGCCTTCATGTTTTGCAAAGGATATTAAGCTGTGTGTTTGAGATCAAACCTTTGTCAAACAACTTTTCGTTCAACTAAGAAGTTTGCCTTTGTTTGTCTGGATTATCTTCTTGTGTTCCTGGTTTCAGGACTTTGTCATGTTCTCTTGGGTTTTGCTTTGCTGGTGCCTTTTTGGATTAGGCTTCAAGTGCTATGTTATATTGATCTTTTGGAACATTAACCTTTGCCTTTAAGAACTTTTTACCTTTTATTTTTAATAAACTATAAAGACTTCTGGCTGTGTGCAGTTTGGTGTTTTCAGCAAGATGAATCTACTCTGAGGTGCAACAAAAGCTCTGATCTAGATCTTCCAGCACAACCCCATGGTTGACTTCCAGTTGCACCTGACTACAGAGTATTAGGGGACCTGCGAATAATCAAATCTGCAGAAGTTAAACCCTCAAATGTGGAAGGTTGACTGCACAGTCCTTCGGCGAACCCCTCTGGAAAGTCTCCACCCCCCAGAAAACCAAAACCAAGACTACATGCAGGCGAAGAAAGGACGACTCACGGAGTAGTTTTGTGTTGTAAACCTCCAGGAGCTTCCTGGCTAAGTCTTCTAAGCCGTCCGCCTGGAGCGCCTCAATGAGGATTTCCAACCAGCCTCTCCTGCACTGCAGGCGCTGGAAGAACTCCCACACGGTTCGATCGTTCCCGTAGAGGGTGAGATGCGCGCTGAGTTCTTGCTAAAGAAAAAAACAGAGGGGAAAAACTTCAGGAGAGGAAGAAAGGGTTGTACCTCTGAAGTGACCGGGATTCCACTCGCAAAGAATGTGCTTTGCATCAATACAAGCCACACACCCTATCCCTTTCACCTCTCATTTATGAGATGTAATATTTTTACACGTAGCAGGGGAAATTGTTGCTCGATGGGTTCATTCACACACCTAAATATAGAATAATTTCTATATACAGAAATATAGACATTATATAGGAATATATAGAAATCATATAGAGCTATAATTTCCCTATTATTATTATTATTATTATTATTATTGTTGTTGTTGTTGTTTTTGTTGTTATTTCAAACACGAGTCCACAGCAAACAAGATCACTCTGCTGGCTGCTGTATTAGATCACATGTCGAACACTTCCCAAGTGTCTAGGACTTTAATAATAATAATTATTATTATTATTATTAATATTTCAAACACAACAAGATTAGTACACAGCAAACAAGATCACTCTGCTGGCTGTTGTATTGGATCACACGTCAGACACTTCCCAAGTGTCTAGGACTTTAATAATAGTAATAATAATAATAATAATTATTATTATTATTATTATTATTTCAAACACAACAAGATTAGTCCACAGCAAACAAGATCACTCTACTGGCTGCTGTATTAGATCACATGTCGAACACTTCCCAAGTGTCTAGGACTTTAATAATAATAATAATAATAATAATAATAATTATTATTATTATTATTTCAAACACAACAAGATTAGTACACAGCAAACAAGATCACTCTGCTGGCTGTTGTATTGGATCACACGTCAGACACTTCCCAAGTGTCTAAGACATTAATAATAATAATAACAAAATCAATAATCAATAATAATAACAAAATCACTATGCTGGGTGTTATACTGGATCACACGTCAGACACTTCCCAAGTGTCTAAAACTTTAATAATAATAATAATAATAATAATAATAATAATTATTATTATTATTATTATTATTATTAAACACAACAAGATTAGTACACAGCAAACAAGATTGCTATGCTGGCTTTTGTATCAGATCACACGTTGGACACTTTCCAAGTGTCTAAGACTTTAATAATAATAATAATAATTATTATTATTATTATTTCAAACACAACAAGATTAGTACACAGCAAACGAGGTCATTCTGCTGGCTGTTGTATTGGATCACACGTCGGACACTTCCCAAGTGTCTAAGACTTTAATAATAATAATAATAATTATTATTATTATTATTTCAAACACAACAAGATTAGTACACAGCAAACGAGGTCATTCTGCTGGCTGTTGTATTGGATCACACGTCGGACACTTCCCAAGTGTCTAAGACTTTAATAATAATTATTATTATTATTATTCAAACACAACAAGATTAGTACACAGCAAACGAGGTCATTCTGCTGGCTGTTGTATTGGATCACACGTCGGACACTTCCCAAGTGTCTAAGACTTTAATAATAATAATAATAATTATTATTATTATTATTTCAAACACACAAGATTAGTACACAGCAAACGAGGTCATTCTGCTGGCTGTTGTATTGGATCACACGTCGGACACTTCCCAAGTGTCTAAGACTTTATTATTATTATTATTATTATTATTATTATTATTATCAACACAACAAGATGAGTCCACAGCAGACACTCTGCTGGCTGTTGTATTGGATCACACGTTGGACACTTCCAAGTGTCTAAGACTTTAATAATAATAATAATAATTATTATTATTATTATTTCAAACACAACAAGATTAGTACACAGCAAACGAGGTCATTCTGCTGGCTGTTGTATTGGATCACACGTCGGACACTTCCCAAGTGTCTAAGACTTTAATAATAATAATAATAATAATTATTATTATTATTATTTCAAACACAACAAGATTAGTACACAGCAAACGAGGTCATTCTGCTGGCTGTTGTATTGGATCACACGTCGGACACTTCCCAAGTGTCTAAGACTTTAATAATAATAATAATAATTATTATTATTATTATTTCAAACACAACAAGATTAGTACACAGCAAACGAGGTCATTCTGCTGGCTGTTGTATTGGATCACACGTCGGACACTTCCCAAGTGTCTAAGACTTTAATAATAATAATAATAATAATTATTATTATTATTTCAAACACAACAAGATTAGTACACAGCAAACGAGGTCATTCTGCTGGCTGTTGTATTGGATCACACGTCGGACACTTCCCAAGTGTCTAAGACTTTAATAATAATAATAATAATTATTATTATTATTATTTCAAACACAACAAGATTAGTACACAGCAAACGAGGTCATTCTGCTGGCTGTTGTATTGGATCACACGTCAGACACTTCCCAAGTGTCTAAGACATTAATAATAATAATAATAATAATAATAATAATTATTATTATTATTATTATTTCAAACACAAGATTAGTATATGCATACAACTGTTTTGGTTCGCCCCGACACGATAAATAAATAGATACCTGCATGGCATATTTTATTTCTCTGGCAAGGCAGTATGTGGGCTGATCAACTGTGAACTACATGTGGTAAGCCACAATACAGGCTAAACTCCCCATATCCAAAAGGCATGGAACTAGAAGTGTTTTACGAAGTATCAAACTGCATCAGTTCTACAGTGATTCTCAGCCTGTGGGTCCCCAGGTGTTTTGGCCTACAACTCCCAGAACTCCCAGCCAATTTACCAGCTGTTAGGATCTTTGGGAGTCAAAGGCCAAAACACCTGGGGACCAACAGGTTGAGAAACACTGGTGTAGATGTTCCTAGTGTGGACACCTTCTCCCACAAATGCCACATTCTGGTTCCTTCCACCCTCCAATTTCCAGAGCATCAGCAGAGATCATAGGCAAGATCTTGACTCATTACCCGATCCATATCCGTGAGGCAGGAGAGGTGGATCATCTGAGCCACGCGGATGCGAAAGAACGTTCTCAAATTAGCCTTGATATACTTTTTGACTTCTTCCTCTGCAAGGTCAGACATCTTCGGTCAGCAACTAGGGCAAGGGGACGAAAGACACTTCCATTAATCTCACGATGATGTTTACTGGACCACCCCGTAAACAAAAATGTAATGTTCGTTTGTGGGATTAACATAACTCAAAACCTATTAGACAAATTGACACCAAATTTGGACAGAATATGCCTAAAAACCCAATGAGTGACCATCATTCAAAAAATTGATTTTGTCATTTGGGAGTTGCTGGGATTTATAGTTCACCTACAATCAAAGAGCATTCTGAACTCCATCAATGATGGAATTGAACCAAAGGTGACACACAGGACTGCCATGACCAACAGAAAACACTAGAAGGGTTTGGTGGGCATTGACCTTGAGTTTGGAAGTTGTAGTTCACCTACATCCAGAGAGCACTGTGGACTCAAACAATGATGGATCTGGACCAAACTTGACACAAATACTCCATATGCCCAAATATGAACACAGATAGAGTTTGGGGGAAATAGACCTTGACATTTGGGAGTTGTAGTTGCTGGTATTTACAGTTCACCTACAATCAAAGAGCATTCTGAACTCCACTAACAATGGAATTGAACCAAACTTGGCAACATCATGGCTATCAACAACAACAACGTAAATTTTAAAAAATTGTCATTCTGAGTGTTCTGTCTGCACTGTAAAATCAATGCAGTTTGATACGACTTTACCTGCTATAGCTAAATGGTGTGGACATCTGGGAACTGTAGTTTGGTGATGCACCAGCCCTCTTTGGTAGAGAAGGCCTTGTAAAAATACCCCTCCCAGCATTCCATAGCAGATAAAGTGGTGCCAAACTGCTTCATTCTATAGTGTAGATGCACCCCTCATCAGTCCCAAGGGCAGATCAAGGAATAAGGATTTAAACTCAAGCTGGCAGCATGAATGTCCTCTCCGGCTTGGACTTGAGCCTCAATGCTCAGGTTTCACTGTGGCTAGGCGTGCATTAATGCTTTTAAAATTAGTGCAACCACTGCACCTGTTTCTTGCAATGACTCAGAGCGGCTTGCAAGATATATATACACACAATATACTACATTATTAGCATAACACAATATCAGTATTAAATATTATGATATTGTACTATACCATTACATTGTAATATTATTAATAATAAATAAATAAAAATATATAATTACAATATCGTACTATTATTACTATTATATTGCATTACATAATATTATAAGTAACACTACCCCTCTATTATGCTTTGGTTAGACCACACCTGGAATATTGTGTCCAATTCTGGGCACCACAATTGAAGAGAGATATTGACAAGCTGGAATGTGTCCAGAGGAGGGCGATTAAAATGATCAAGGGTCTGGAGAACAAGCCCTATGAGGAGCGGCTTAAGGAGCTGGGCATGTTTAGCCTGAAGAAGAGAAGGCTGAGAGGAGATATGATAGCCATGTATAAATATGTGAGAGGAAGCCACAGGGAGGAAGGAGCAGATCAGGGGTCTGGAGAACAAGCCCTATGAGGAGCGGCTTAAGGAGCTGGGCATATTTAGCCTGAAGAAGAGAAGGATGAGAGGAGATATGATAGCCATGTATAAATACATGAGAGGAAGCCACAGGGAGGAAGGAGCAAGCTTGTTTTCTGCTTCCACGGAGATTAGGAGAAGAAACAATGGCTTCGACTACAAGAAAGGACATGAGGAAGAACTTCCTGACTGTGAGAGCCGTTCAGCAGTGGAACTCTCTGCCCCGGAGTGTGGTGCAGGCTCCTTCTTTGGAAGCTTTTAAACAGAGGCTGGATGGCCATCTGTCAGGGGTGCTTTGAATGCAATATTCCTGCTTCTTGGCAGAATGGGGTTGGACTGGATGGCCCATGAGGTCTCTTCCAACTCTATGATTCTAAATATATAATAATATCATATTATTATTATTACTATTATATTGCATTACATAATATTGTAATTATTATATGTATTACAATATATTATATTACATAATACTACATATTGTTGTTGCTGTTCGTTCAGTCGTCTCCGACTCTTCGTGACCTCATGGACCAGCCCACGCCAGAGCTCCCTGTCGGCCGTCACCACCCTCAGCTCCTTCAAGGAGCTTCAATACTACATATAATGTAACATAATGTGAAAAGTATATGTATATACAATATATTATATTACATTATATTATATACATATTAAAATACCCCAAAGATTAAACATAAGTTGCAACTTTAAATGGGTCTGGGTTAGCTGGGAACTCCACCCTTCGAGCTGCAGAGAAGAGGTAGAACTATTTTGCAAGTTTTGACTTCTCAAAAGCAAGCAAAACAAATATAATAGATATAAATTATATATATATACACACACACACACACACACACACACACGCACAATGATAAAGAGCTTCCCAACTCCTCTGGACTGCTAGTCTTACTCCCTGAAAATGTAGGTAGGACTATTTTGCAAGGTTTGACTTCTCAAAAGCAAGCAAAACAAATATAATATAATATATATATACACACACATATACTATATATATATATACACACACACACACACAATGATAAAGAATATATTGTCGAAGGCTTTCATGGCTGGAATCACTAGGTTCTTGTGGGTTTTTTCGGGCTATATGGCCATGTTCTAGAGGCATTTCTCCTGACGTTTCGCCTGCATCTATGGCAAGCATCCTCAGAGGTAGTGAGGTCTGTTGGAATTAGGACAATGGGTTTATATATCTGTGGAATGACTGGGGAGGGGCCAAGAGCTCTCTGCTGAAGCTAGGTGTGAATGTTTCAGATGACCACCTTCATTAGCACTTGAAGGCTTGGCTGAGCCTGGGAAAATGTTCTGTTGAGAGGTGATTAGATGTGCCTGGTTGTTTCCTCTCTGCTGATTTGCTGTAGTAATTTTAGAGTTTTTTAATACTGGTAGCCAGATTTTGTTCATTTTCATGGTTTCCTCCTTCTGTTGAAATTGTCCACATGCTTCAACCAGAGAAGTCAGCCATAGCAGAGCACCTGATGAACCAACCTGGACACAGCATATTATTTGAGAACACAGAAATGCTGGACCACTCTCACAACCACCATGTCAGACTACACAGAGAAGCCATTGAAATCCACAAGCATGTGGACAATTTAAACAGAAAGGAGGAAACCATGAAAATGAACAAAATCTGGCTACCAGTATAAAAAACTCTAAAATTACAACAGCAAAACAGCAGAGAGGAAACAACCAGGCACATCTTAACACCTCTCAACAAAAGATTTTCCCAGGCTCAGCCAGGCCTTCAAATGCTAATGAAGGTGGTAAGTTGAAACATTCACACCTAGCTCCAGCAGAGAAGAGCTCTTTGCCCCACCCCAGCCATTCCACAGATATATAAACCCATTTTCCTAATTCCAACAGACCTCACTACCTCTGAGGATGCTTGCCATAGATGCAGGCGAAACGTCAGGAGAAATGCCTCTAGAACATGGCCATATAGCCCGGAAAAACCTACAACAACCCACAATGATAAAGAGCTTCCCAACTCCTCTGGACTGCTAGTCTTACTCCCTGAAAATGTAGGGTTGCAAACCCCAGCCTTTGGCCTTGCTTCTTCGGTGTACACGTGTACAGAGACCTGAACGTGTGAATGGAGGCATTCAAAGAACAAAACCCGCAACCCTCCCAGCTCTGACCTTGAAATGTTTATTCTGCAACAAAGGCCAAGCCCTGTGATGCAAGGCCCGCTGCTGAAAGCGAAAGCCAAAGCCACGGCCTTGCAAAGATTGCAGGCATCTGTTTCCGGGAAGGAACAAACTCTTGCAAAAGAGAAACCAAGGTAAACATTCCTCCAACACTGGGAGAAAATAAAGTTGGAGCATAATATAACTTCTTCCCAAGAGGCTTTCCAAGACGGGGAAGCCATTGCATGTTTCTCCTTACCTACTCTTCCAACCTGAAGACCGGGAAAAGAAGGCGGACCCTAATGGGAACTCGGATTCCAGGGGAACGTTCTCATCCCGCCCCCCGCCGGCCTCCCATTGGCTGAGAGCCTGCGCCCCGGGCTGTCCATCAAATGTGCTTTGGAAGCATCCCCACTGCTGAATTCAGGCAACTCACAATAATGCAAATCCAAAGAATGCAAGTGCCTCAAAATATTAATAGGACATAAATCCAAACATAACTATATCATCACCTTTTTAAAAAAGATTTCTAACTAGGAATTTTATATTGGGTTGTTGTAGGTTTTTTCAGACTATATGGCCATGTTCTAGAGGCATTCTCTCCTGACGTTTCGCCTGCATCTATGGCAAGCATCCTCAGAGGTTGTGAGGTCTGTTGGAACTAGGAAAAAGGGTTTATATATCTGTGGAATGACCAGGGTGGGCCAAAGGACTCTTGTCTGCTGGAACTAGGTGTGAATGTATTGTCGAAGGCTTTCATGGCTGGAATCACTAGGTTCTTGTGGGGTTTTTCGGGCTTTAGAGCCATGTTCTAGAGGCATTCTCTCCTGACGTTTCGCCTGCATCTATGGCAAGCATCCTCAGAGGTAGTGAGGTCTGTTGGAATGGCTGGGGTAGGGCAAAGAACTCTTCTCTGCTGGAGCCAGGTGTGAATGTTTCAGCTGACCACCTTCATTAGCATTTGAAGGCCTGGCTGAGCCTGGGAAAATCTTTTGTTGAGAGGTGTTAAGATGTGCCTGATTGTTTTCCCTCTGCTGTTTTGCTGTTGTAATTTTAGAGTTTTTTAATACTGGTAGCCAGGTTTTGTTCATTTTCATGGTTTCCTCCTTTCTGTTGAAATTGTCCACATGCTTGTGTATTTCAATGGCTTCTCTGTGTAGCCTGACATGGTGGTTGTGAGAGTGGTCCAGCATTTCTGTGTTCTCAAATAAAATGCTGTGTCCAGGCTTGGTTCATCAGGTGCTCTGCTATGGCTCACTTCTCTGGTTGAAGTAGTCTGCAGTGCCTTTCATGTTCCTTGATTCGTGTTTGGGCAGCTGCGTTTGGTGGTCCCTATGTAGACTTGTCCACAGCTGCATGGTATACGGTAGACTCCTGCAGAAGGAGACACACATACAAACTATCTACAGACCCACCAAGAAAATCTAACAAATGCTATTCAGCAAAGGACAAGAGGGATCCTCTCACCTCTGCAGGAGTCTACCGTATTCCATGCAGCTGTGGACAAGTCTCCATAGGGACCACCAAACGCAGCAACAAAGAAACAAAAATGGCAGGGACCTAACAAAAGCTGAAGACATCAAGAGAAGGTGGCGAGACTATACAGAAGATCTGTATAGGAAGGATAATTATATCGAGGATAGTTTTGACAGTGTGGTGAATGAATTAGAACCAGACATCCTGAGGAGTGAGGTTGAATGGGCCTTAAGAAGCATTGCTAACAACAAGGCAGCAGGAGACGACGGGATCCCAGCTGAACTGTTTAAAATCTTAAAAGATGATGCTGTCAAGGTGATGCCAGCAAATATGGAAAACACAAGAATGGCCATCAGACTGGAAAAAATCAACTTATATCCCCATACCAAAAAAGGGAAATGCGAAAGACTGCTCAAACTTCCGTACAGTGGCCCTTATTTCTTATGCCAGTAAGGTAATGCTCAAGATCCTGCAAGGAAGACTCCAGCAATACATGGAGCGAGAGTTGCCAGATGTCAAGCTGGGTTTAGAAAAGGTAGAGGAACGAGAGACCAAATTGCCAATATCCGCTGGATAATGGAGAAAGGCAGGGAGTTTCAGAAAAACATATACTTCTGCTTCATTGACTATTCTAAAGCCTTTGACTGTGTGGATCATAATAAATTGTGGCAAGTTCTTAGTGGGATGGGCATCCCAAGCCACCTTGTCTCTCTCCTGAGGAATCTGTACAAGGACCAAGTAGCAACAGTCAGAACTGACCACGGAACAACAGACTGGTTCAAGATTGGGAAAGGCGTACGGCAAGGCTGCATCCTCTCACCCAACCTTTTTGACTTGTATGCAGAACACATCATGCGATGTGCGGGGCTTGATGAATGCAAGGCTGGGGTGAAAATTGCTGGAAGAAACATTAACAACCTCAGATATGCAGATGACACCACTCTGAGGGCCGAAAGCGAGGAGGAGCTGAGGAGCCTTCTAATCAAGGTGAAAGAAGAAAGCGCAAAAGCCGGGTTGCAGCTAAACGTCAAAAAAACCAAGATTATGGCAACAAGAGTGATTGACAACTGGAAAATAGAGGGAGAAACCGTGGAGGCCGTGACAGACTTTGTATTTCTAGGTGCAAAGATTACTGCAGATGCAGACTGTGGCCAGGAAATCAGAAGACGCTTACTTCTTGGGAGGAGAGCAATGTCCAGTCTCGATAAAATAGTAAAGAGTAGAGACATCACACTGGCAACAAAGATCCATTGCCTAGTCAAAGCCATGGTATTCCCTGTAGTCACCTACGGATGTGAGAGCTGGACCTTAGGGAAGGCTGAGCGAAGGAAGATAGATGCTTTTGAGCTGTGGTGTTGGAGGAAAGTTCTGAGAGTGCCTTGGACTGCGAGAAGATCCAACCAGTCCATCCTCCAGGAAATAAAGCCCGACTGCTCACTGGAGGGAAGGATACTAGAGACAAGGTTGAAGTACTTTGACCACATCATGAGGAGACAGCAAAGCCTAGAGAAGACAATGATGCTGGGGAAAGTGGAAGGCAAAAGGAAAAATCTTCTGTTCCTAGTTTGAAAGTGTTATTTCCTGTTCAATCGTGTGTTGGTTACTTTGAAAGTAGTTGTTCTGCTCCAGAAACTTTTTGTGGCTGCTGCAAACTCTGTTGAATTGATTGAGACTCAATGAGATTGCCTCGAGTTTCAATAATTCATTTCCCTGTAGTGCCACTAGGTGGCGTAACTAGCCACAAGGTTTCCTAGTGAAGTCTATCCAACAGAGGAGGGATGTTTAGGAAGTGGTCTCAACCCGCATTAATTCTACAGTGTAGACACACCCTTGGGGGATTTTTAGGCAACAGCTTCACTTTATTCGCCTGTTTCAATGTCAAAGTGAGTACCTTGTTGGCTTGATTCCTGCGTTTTCTAATACAAAATGAGTTTCTCTTAGGATGGAAATAATTGTGAATATACTAGGCTTACCGTAGATATACTACATATACTAAATTGATATATATTTATTTATAAATTTATATATACTAATCAACCTAAAGCAGGAGTCATCGACATCTTGAAGCCGGGCAAAGACCGTAATGACCCAAAAAGCTACAGACCAATCTCCCTGTTGTGCCACCTCTACAAAGTTCTGGAGAGACTTATTTTGCATAGAATTATGGAAAAAATAGACCCATGTCTGATTCCAAAGAAAGCAGGTTTCAGGAAAGGCAAAAGCTGCGCATCGCAAGTGCTGAACCTGACTCAGCACATAGAAGATGGCTTGAAAGGCAGCAGATCACAGGAGCTGTCTTCATAGACCTGTCAGCAGCTTATGATACTGTAAAACCACCTCCTCCTGAGAAAAATGTATAATATCACAAAGGACTACCACCTCACCCGCCTCATAGGAAACCTGCTACAAAACAGGAGCTTTTTTGTTGAGTTCCAGGGCCAGAGAAGCAGATGGCGGAAACAGAAGAACGGCCTGCCTCAGGGGAGCGTGCTTGCTCCATCCATGTTCAACATCTACACAAATGACCAGCCACTGCCAGAAGGGACAGAGAGTTCCATCTATGCTGATGATCGTGCCATTACCGCTCAAGCAGGGAGCTTTGAGATGGTTGAACAGAAGCTCTCCAAAGCTCTAGGTGCTCTTACTGCCTATTACAGGGAAAACCAGCTGATCCCCAACCCATCTAAAACACAGACATGTGCCTTTCATCTCAAGAACAGACAAGCACCCCGAGCTCTGAGGATTACTGAGGAGCTCTAAGGAATCCCACTGGAGCATTGCAACACACCCAAATACCTGGGAGTCACTCTGGACCGTGCTCTGACCTACAAGAAGCACTGCCTGAATATCAAGCAAAAAGTGGGTGCTAGAAACAATATTTATTTATATACCGCTGTTCTCAGCCCGGGGGTGACTCACAGCGGTGTACAACATAGAAAGAACAAGGTTCAAAATTCAAGACACAATCTAAAATAATCAGTCCAGCATTAACCAAAAACATCATCATCAAAAAACATCATCAATACTACAAAAGCCATTCCACGTCGTGTCATCGTCTAAACCACAATCCAGTATCATTTTCCGTTGTTCCATTCCTGTCGTCATTACCAATTATTGCACTTCTTGTTCGAACGCCTTGTTGAACAGCCAAGTCTTTAGTTTCCTGCGGAATATCACCAGGGAAGGAGCCAGTCTGATGTCCACGGGAAGGGTGTTCCACCACCGAGAAGGCCCTATCATACGAAAGCTGACTGGCACAACCTAGGGATCACAACCAGACACAGTGAAGACATCTGCCCTTGCGCTGTGCTACTCTGCTGCTGAGTATGCATGCCCAGTGTGGAACACATCTCACCACACTAAAACAGTGGATGTGGCTCTTAATGAGACATGCCGCATTATCACAGGGTGTCTGCGCCCTACACCACTGGAGAAATTACACTGCTTAGCCGGTATTGCACCACCTGACATCCGGGAAGTGGCAGCCAATAGTGAAAGGACCAAGGCAGAGACATCTCCAGCTCATCCCCTGTTTGGGTATCAGCCAGCACATCAATGACTTAAATCAAGAAATAGTTTTCTAAGATCTACAGAGACACTCGCTGGAACACCTCAGCAAGCGAGAGTCCAAAAGTGGCAGGCTGAAACCCAGAACCTCAATTCATGGGTGATACCAGATGAGAGACTCCCCCCTGGGCACACAGAAGACTGTGGGCTTTTGAATGGGAAGTATAAATAAGGAGGAGCGAGTTGGTGCGCTTTAGCCAACCAGAGCCTCCCTTTCAGCGGTCCAATCAGGGCGCACTTTCCATAAGTAGAAATTAAGGCGGTGTTTTTGAGAGGGAGGCGGGAAGAAGAAGGAACGAGGAATTAGTGGCGCTGTAGCCAATCAGAGCGCTCCTTCTATAGATAATGACGTGAAGGAAAGCATGAAACGGGTCTTTTTAGTGGGAGGCAGAAATAAGGAGGGGGTGAGTCGGTGCGCTTTAGCCAACCAGAGCCTCCTTTTCAGCGGCCCAATCATAGTTCACCTTCCATAGATATGAAGTAAAGTATGAGGCGGGGCTTTTGAGCAAGAGGGTTAAGTAAGGAGGAAGGGCGAGTTGGTGCGCTTTAGCCAATCAGAGCCTCTCTTTCAGCGGTCCAATCAGAAGGCGGGTATGAAGTGAGGGAAAGCGTGAGGCAGGAATAAGGAGGAGGAGGAGCGGAGAGAAGCAGGAGTTAGTGGTGCTGTAGCCAATCGGAGTCTCCCTTTCAGCGGTCCAATCAGAAGGCGGGCATGAAGTGAGGGGAAAGCATGAGGTGGGAATAAGGAGGAGGAGCGGAGAGGAGGAGGAGTTAGTGTTGCTTTAGCCAATCGGAGTCTCCCTTTCAGCGGTCCAATCAGAAGGCGGGTATGAAGTGAGGAAAAGCGTGAGGGTAGAATAAGAAGGAGGAGGAGCGTAGAGAAGGAGGAGTTAGTGGTGCTGTAGCCAATCGGACTCTCCCTTTAAGCGGTCCAATCAGAAGGCGGATTGAAGTGAGGGAAAGCGTGAGACGGGAATAAGAAGGAGGAGGAGTTTATAGTGCTGTAGCCAATCGGAGTCTCCCTTTCAGCGGTCCAATCAGAAGGCGGGTATGAAGTGAGGGGGGAATAAGAAGGAAGAGGAGTTAATGGTGCTGTAGCCAATCGGAGTCTCTCTTTCAGCGGTCCAATCAGAACGCGGGTATGAAGTGAGGGAAAGCGTGAGGCGGCGCTTTTGAAGGAAGGCGGGAAGAAGAAGAAGACAGAGGAGGGGAAAGGGGGAGGGGTTAGTGACTCCTTAGCCAATGAGCGTCTCTCTTTCAGCGGCCCAATGACCGCGCACCTTCCATAAGTAAAACACGAGGCGGGGCTTTTGAGTGGGAGGCAGGAAATAAGCAGGCGGCGCGAGCTGCCGCGCTTGAGCCAATCGGAGCCGCCCTTCCAGCGGGCACGCTCGGCGGCTCCAATCGGCGTGCGCGTTGCACGCGGCGGCTGCATCCAGGGCCGAGGCGTCGCCTGTGAGGGAAGGAAAGGCGGGCAAAAGCGTCGCCGCCTCCGGTCCGGACGCAGCAGCCCCGCCGTCGTGCATGGAGCGGCCCCAGGCAGGAGGAGGCCGGGGAGCCGCCGCTGGCCCCTCTCCGTAAGTCCTTCTCCCTCATTGTCAGTGTTGTGGTTGGCCTTCTGTGAGGAGAAAGGGGCCTAGGAGCCAGGCAGGGGTGAGTGAAGGGACTGCAAGTCCCATCATCCATGGTCCACCCTCCTCCAAACTGCAGCAGGATGTAGAGTCGGTCATGGGGGCTCTGTGTGCCAAGTTTGGTCTTTATTGGTCATTAGATGTGGATTGCAGCAGTCTTGGGGAGTGGAGGTACTTGAAGTCCCATCGTCCATGGTCTGTCCTCCTCGAAAGTGCACCAGGATGTAGAGTGGGCTATGGGGGCTCTGTGTGCCAATTTGGCCTTGATTGGTCATTGGATGAGGGTCTCAGTGGTTTCAGTAAGTGAGTAAAGATACTGCAAGTCCCATCATCCATGGTCCATCCCCCTTAGAACTGCATCAGGATGTACAGTGGGCCATGAGTACTCTGTGTGCCAAGTTTGGGCCTGGTCTGTGATTTGTAGGGGCTACAATGTTCTGTGGGAAGTGAATCGGGTGAAGGTACTGCAAATCCCATCATTAGTGGCCCATCCTGCCTTGAACTGCACTGAAAGTCCCATCATCCATCGTCCCTCCTTCTCCAAACAGCATCGGGATGTAGAGTAGGTCAAGGGGGCTCTGTGTGCCAAGTTTGGTCTTGATCAGTCATTGGATGAGAGTCGCAGTGGTTTCAGTAAGTGAGTGAAGGTACTTGAAGTCCCATCATCCATGGTCCACCCTCCTCCAAACAGCATCAGGATATAGAATGGGTCATGAGGGCTCTGAGTGCTAAGTTTGGTCTTTATCAGTCATTGGATGAGGGTCGCAGTGGTTTCAGTAAGTGAGTGAAGGTACTGCAAGTCCCATCAACCATGGTCCATCCCCTTAGAACTGCATCAGGATGTAGAGTGGGTCATAAGTACTCTGTGTGCCAAGTTTGGTCTTGATCAGTCATTGGATGAGAGTCGCAGTGGTTTCAGTAAGTGAGTAAAGGTACTGCAAGTCCCATCATCCATGGTCCACCCTCCTCCAAACTGCAGCAGGATATAGAGTCGGTCATGGGGGCTCTGTGTGCCAAGTTTGGTCTTGATTGCTCATTAGATGAGGGTCACAGTGGTTTCAGTAAGTGAGGGTCATGAGTACTCTGTGTGCCAAGTTTGGTCTTGATCCGTCATTGGATGAGGGTCGCAGTGGTTTCAGTAAATGAGTGAAGGTACTTGAAGTCCCATCATCCAGGGTCCACCCTCCTTCAAACTGCAGCAGGATATAGAGTCTGTCATGGAGGCTCTGTGTGCCAAGTTTGGTCTTGATCAGTCATAGAATGTGGGTCGCAGTGGTTTCAGTAAGTGAGTGAAGGTACTGCAAGTCCCACCATCCATGGTCCAGCCTCCTCCAAACTGCAGCAGGATGTAGAGTGGGTCATGGGGGCTCTGTGTGCCAAGTTTGGTCTTGATCAGTCATTGGATGAGGGTTGCATTGTTTTCAGGAAGTGAGTGAAGGTACTGCAAGTCCCATCATCCATGGTCCATCCCCCTTAGAACTATCAGGGTGTAGAGTGGGTCATGGGGGCTCTGTGTGCCAATTTGGTCTTGAACAGTCATTGATGAGGGTCGCAGTGGTTTCAGTAAGTGAGTGAAGATGCTGCAAGTCCCATCATCCATGGTCCATCCCCTTAGAACTGCATCAGGATGTAGAGTGGGTCAAGACGTTGGCTGTTCCTGGGTCGGTTTCCCATTGAGGTTTGTCTGTTTATCCTGTGGATCCGAATGCATGTTCGAAGGGCCAAGTTTTCACTCTTTTTCGAAAGGTCAGTAGGGAGAGGGCTGATCTGCTATCCCTAGGCAGGGGGTTCCACAGCTGAGAGAAGTCCCTGTGTCTTGTCCCCGCTAAATGTGCTTGCAAAGCAGGCAGGATCGAGAGCAGGGCCTCCTTCGACAATCTCAAGTTCCTGGTGGGTTCGTAGGAAGAGATACGTTCGGATAGATAAGCTTAACACTAATTTATTTATTTATTTCATATACTTGTACCCCACCCTTCTCACCCCCGAGGGGGGACTCAGGGCGGCCTCACAGCAAACATCATTCAATGCCATCATAATGATAAGAACAATCAGCAAATTCATTAAAACAAAACATTAAATAAACAGTTGTTAAAACACGCCAATTAAAATCCAGGTCAATTCATTGTCACTTCGAAATTGCTTATGTCTTCTTCATACAAGCCGCTATTCAATGGTCAAATGCAAGATCCCACAGCCAAGTCTTGAGTTTCCTTCTAAAGAACAGGAGGGAAGTGGCCAATCTGATGTTTTTGGGGAGGGAATTCCATAGACGGGGAGCCACTGTTGAGCAGGCCCTGTCTCGTTTCCATCAATTGTGTTTGTGAAGGTGGTGGGATCGAGAGCAGGGTCTCTCCAGGTGTTCTTAAACTTTGTGATGATTCATAGTAGGAGATAAGTTCAGACATGTATTCTGGGCCAGCACTTTGAATTGTGCTCGGTAGCAGATCAGCAACCAGTGGAGCTAGCGTAACAGAGGAGGTGTATGCTCCCTGTACGCCGCTCTGGTGAGCAACCTGGCTGCAGACTAGTTGAAGCTTCCGAGCAGTCTTCAAAGGCATACGTAGAGCGTATTGCAGTAGTCTAATTGGGATGTAACAAGAGCATGGACCACTATGGCCAACTCAGACTTCCCAAGGTACGGGCGCAGCTGGTGCACAAGTTAAATAAACATAAGTGTTACTTCCAATTAGTATGCTAACTCTGCCTTCTCTTTTTTAAATTATTAATTCTAAATTTGGCTTTGAATAAGGTATTATTTTTCCACATTTCGGTAATCCAATTCTGCATATTTTTCCATCTTGAAGGATCACTGAGCTCTGGTGGCACAGCAGGTTAAACCGCTGATATGCTAAACTTGCTGACCAAAAGGTCGGTGGTTTGAATTTGCTAACCTAGCAGTTTCAAAACGTGAGAATGTAGGTAGATCAATAGGTACTTTTCCGATGGGAAGGTAATAGCTCTACATGCAGTTATATTGGCCGCATGATTTTGGAGGTGTCTACAGACAACGCAATGATAATCTGCACATCCTATGGAAATGCTTTCAATGTAAGCTGCTTTGAGTGTCTTGGTGGAGAGAAAAAGCAGAGAGAGTATAAATAAACATAATTTTTGTTTCTGCGAGAGGGACTTCATCCTGCTATAGCACATTTTAACTTCGAATACGTTTTGATGGTTTTTAGTGCTGTTTGTGGGTTTTTTAATGCTTGTATATTTTAAATTGTATGCTAATGCTTTTATGTCAAGCCATTCAAATCATAGAATCATAGAATAATAGAGTTGGAAGAGACCACATGGGCCATCTAATCCAACCTCTGACATGCAGGAAAAACACAATCAAAGCACCCCAACAGATGGCCAGCCAGCCTCTGTTTAAAAGTTTCCAATGAAGGAGTTTGCACTGCACTCTGAGGCAGAGAGTTCCACTGTTGAATAGCTCAAACCATCATGAAGTTCTTCCTAATGTTCAGGTGGAATTCCCTTTCTTGTAATTTGAACTGATTGCTCCAAGTCCTAGTTTCCAGGGCAGCAGGAAACAGGCCTGCTCTTTCATTATGCCACCCATTCACATATTTATAAGTGGCTATTGTGTCTCCGCTAACAGTCTCTTCTGCAGGCTAAACATACCCAGTTCTTTAAGATGCTCCTCATAGAGATTATTCATGGTCTCCACATCATTGATCCTTTTAGTTGCCCTCCTCTGGACACCTTCCTTCCAGCTTGTCAATAACTCTTTTGAACTGTGTTACCCAGTTCAAATAAGACTGGACACAGTCTTATTCCATGTAAAGAGGCCTAAACAAAGCAGAATAAAAAGGCACCATGACTTCCCTCGATCTAGACACTATACTCCTTCTGATGCAGTCTAAAATCCCATTAGCTTTTGAAGCTGCTGCATCACATTCTTGCCTCATGTCCATGAATACTTCAAGAACTTTTTCACATAGACTGTTGTTGAGCCAGGCGTCACACACACACACGGATTTCTTTTTTCTGCCTAAGTGGAATATCTTACATTTGTCCTTGTTGACATTCATTTTGTTAGTTGTGGCTAATCAGCACTCTAATCTGTTAAGGTCATTTTGAATTCTGAACCTGTCCTCTGGGGGTATTAGTTCTCCCTCTTAATTTGGTCCTACCTGCAAACTTCATAAGCACACCCTTTAAATCTTCATCCAAGTCATTAATAAAGATGTTGAACAGAACTGGGCCCAGGACCAAACCTTGCGGCACTGCACTAGTAATTTCTTTCCAGGATGAAGAGGAACCATTGGTGAGCACCTTTTGGGTTTGGTCGCTTAACCAATTACAGATCCAGCTAATATTAGTATTGGCTAGCCCACATTTGACTAATTTGCTTGCAAGAAGGTCATGGGAGAGTTTTTAGAAGGCCTTACTGAAATCAAGATATGCTCCATCCACAGCATTCCCTGCATCTACCAAGCTTGTAACTCTTGAAAAAAGAGAGATAAGATTAATCTGGCATGACCTGTTTTTGGGAAATCCATGTTGACTTTTGGTAATCCGTAAACCTGTTGGCAGAGCAAGGTCTTGATCTGCTTGCGGAAGGCAGCAAGGATCGGACCATTCTGGTTTCTCTTGGGTGGAATTCCATAGCCTGGGAGCAGCCACCGAAAAGGCCCTCTCCCGTGTTCCCACCAAGTGTGCTTGAGCGGGTGGTGGGGTCGAGAGAAGACTCTTTCCAGTATCATAGATGTCTCTCAGGTTCATAGAAAGAAATGCGGTCCTTCAGATATCCTGGACCAGAGCCATATAGAGCTTTGTAGGTCAAAATTAGCACTTTGAATTGTGCCCGGAAACACATTGGCAGCCAGTGAAGTTGTCGCAACAGAGGAGTTGTATGCTCCCTGTAGCCAGCTCTGACTGCTGCTGTTTGGACCAACTGAAATTTCCTCGCACTTTTCAAGGGCGGCCCCATGTAGAGC